GCCCATTCTAACATCTTGCTTACCTTCAACATACTGAAAAAAATTCCTTGTTAGTTTCGACATTAGCCAGCTGTTTCTTATGGGCCCTTCTGGCTTTCCTAGTTTCCTTTTTTAACCAAATCACAAGCCTTACTATAGTTCTGTAAATCTTCTATCATATCTGTCAGTTTAAAGTTCTTATTCCGTTTATTTATAATTTTTTCTTTTACATCTTTAGTAAGCTAGTTATGTTTGATCTTTTTACTTTCCCTCTCTTTTTTTAATATTTCCCAAAGCTGTCCCAAAATTGTTTTTCTGAAAATTGGGAAATAAGACTTCATTTCTTTATCTTAATATGTAACAAAACATTAAACCTAATTATGCAATAATCACTTTTCCAAATGCTCCCCTACTTCAACTCTTACAATCGTACACTCATTAGTAGTTAACAATAAATCAAAAGCAGCATTTCCTCTAGTTGGCCCTTTGACCAGTTAGTACAAAAAACCATAGTGAATCACTTGGATAAATCTCTCTCCATCACTATTTGACTCCATAAAGTCCCAATCAATCTGTCTCAAATTAAAATAATTATTGCATCATTGCTCTTATTAGTAGCAACCTTGATCATATTTTATGATTTCTCAATTACCTCTTCTGTCTGATCAGATGGCTTATATCAAATGCCAATTACAAACTTTCTACCCTTGAAATCCCAGATATAAATTCAAGTTCTGAATTACTATTTTTTTTATGTCTTCAATCTTAAAAGGCTAAGTTCAAACCCGCTATAAAAAAATCTATAACTATTAAATAATGTATAACCTGGAATTTCAAAATAATGTCTAATGTCAATATTTTCCAAATCTAACCAACTTTCAGTAATTACCATATCATTCTTTATCCTACAAAGCCTATAAATCCATAAATCTAACAGATTTATTTTAAAACTATCATTTAACTTGTTATACTCTGGATTTCCTTTTTCCAATTCCTTATTACCCTAGCTAACACATCAGCATGTTTATTCCCAACTTCTTAAGCTCCCTCATGGCTATGCAAGTTTAGTTTAACTTTAATGAACATGTTTGCATATGTTGTTCTCGAAATGAGAATAAACCTAAAATTTTACAATCATCAGGTTGTCAAATATGGTATAAGGTTTAGATACAAAAATCACTTTGGAACAGTTATGGAAACAAAGCATTTTTGTATTTATACTGTTTACAATAGGATACAACAGACGTTTAAAACATTCACACACTGATATTTTTATGTACATGCACATATACGCTACAAATATCACAAAAAAACCTAGCTTGTTCTCAAGAAATTATAAATACTGCTTTAAAGGTTTTTCATTTACAATAAAGTGGCATACCAAGTTTACAGAAAAAATATAAAACATTTATTTGGGTACATGATTACATTATAGTAGACTAAATGGGAACAAACCCCAAAAATATCCATCTAAATTGCTCAAGCAGAGCCAAACTGTAGTATCTATTTTATTCATACCCTGAAAACTATTCCACAGATCCAACATTACTACCAACTCCTCTGAAAATTTCACTAATAATCTTTCAATTAAAACTTGAATCCTGCTAAGTAATTCATTCCCACTTCTGGTTGATGTTACATATCAATCAAAATTTGTGAAAAATGTATTCCTGAATTTACCTCGAACAAGGCCTACAAAGCCTACATATAGACTCATTTTTTTATTGCCATCACTTCCATAATTAGTTCTTAATATTTAATTCCAGTGCTCTATTTGGATTGTTTGAAGTGATATCTTTCCTCAACAAAGACTAAGTTGAAATTAAATTTTTAAACTGATTGATAATTGCTGATTTCACACAGAGAATTCCATGCACTTGTAATTCAAGCAGGAAAAGTATTTCTATGAATCCTTGAATTTCTTCAAATTGCCTCTTATTGTCTCAGGTTGGGTCCTGATCTCAAAAAATCTCTCTGTTGAAACTTGATTCTGTGAAGAATCTTAAATACCTGAATCGTGTTCACTATCTGATATTTTAGGGTGAAGAGCAAATTAGGCAGTGAAAAAAAAAAGAAGCAATATATGTGACATATCATAATAAGAGTGGTAGGACATGGAGATAAAGTAAGGTTTAGCAGGGTAGAAGTCATCTGCAAATTAAAAAATTTTATTTTTCCAAACAGGGTGGTCAGCCTCCAAAATATATATAATATTACCTTCAGATGTATTAGACAAAACAGGATTGGGAGAGTTTGAAAGATGGCTTAATGAGTACTTGAGGGGTAAGAGGTGGATATAGGTTGATGGGTGTGTTTGATTAAATGAATGGGAATGTAATAATTTTAATGTACCATTCCTTTCTGGCCCAGTGTGAATTTCCAATGGGAATAACACAATATTTTGCCATTATATGCTACTGCCAACAAGACCTTTCACTTCATGCCAGGACTACATCAGGCTCACTGGTTAATTTTGGTCTCAATCTAAGAAAAGATTAGAGTTGGGCAATTTTTCTCCTTTGGTGCTTGGTAATATCACAAATAATCTCATGTGTTATGGTTAAAGATCAAAAACAGTGATATGATTGTGGACATAGTGGTCACAGAAGCTTTTTTTAATTTGCCTGTTACTTATAATTAAGGTTATCATCATTTGTAATTATTAATGTTGAATTTTTAGAAGCTCTTCTGGCAGAAGTTACTACACAATCAATTAGTGTCATGTAAAATAACTGATTAATCAAATTATGATTAAATCAATTAACACCACAAAAATAACCAAAAGTAGGGTTTTCAATTATTCCAAATATCCAAGTAATTGATATATTGCCATTAAGATTTCTCATTACATTCAATCAATTCAAGGTTGTTCAGCCTAATTGATTAGTCACAACTCACAAAAATAACAAATCAAAATTAGCGTAACTAAGTTTCATAGCTGATTTGTTGAATGCAAGTGATTAATATGCCAGACAATTAATGAATTAGTAAATTCCACTAATCACCCATCTCTAGAAGGGAGATTTACTTCTTGGAAGAGGTTCAGAAAGAAGTTACAAAGACAATAAGTTAAGATCTCTCATTTTCTCTTCAGAAGAGTAATAAGTGATCTTAAAAAAGATTACAAATATATCCAGATTACTGATAGGATAAACATATCTGGTTTCTTTGTGATGATTTCTGAAGACAATATGACAAGAGAACACAAGCTTATGATATGAGAAATGGCAGGTGAGAATCCATTTAAGATGTTTTATTTTACTAAAAGGTTGATTAGTTTATGAAAATGAGTTGCCATCAGTAGTAGTGAAGGCCAGCATCTCACAAGAGTTTAAGAAGGCACGTGTGTAGGTGCAGAGACATCTTTTAAGGACAATAGGTTCCTTGTTGTCTGTTTAAAAAAAATAAGCAGGGAAAAATGAGCATTTCACTCACTGAAGTCACTGCTCATCTAATATAGAGCAAACTTAAACAGTAAATCTAAATTTAATGTTGTCCTTTAGATCTATATACCTTTCCAACAATCTTTTAGAATAACTCAAAATAATAGCATGTGCCACTTTCCAGGCAAACCATGCCACAAATTGTACATATACATTAAAACAAAACAAAAATGTTGTTAGAGAAGGAGTTCGTACATCACCTTCATTGCTTAAATCTATTGTAATGATACTTAAATTCATATTTGCATCCTTTACATTTTATCACTTATACATTAGTCTAACAATAACACTTTAATGTATCTACATCACCATCTATCAAGCACTGAAATTGATTGTTAACCATATCAACTGACTTTGTGTAGGAATGAATCCTACACCTTCTTCCACTGTCAGATATGCAGAATGTTATTAAATATTCTCATAATAATATAAATCTTATAATATTAATAACTTGTAATTTGACGATACAGTTAGAATTCATGGTAAAGATTTTCATATGAAGACAATGAAGTTATCTTTCACTTATAGTAAATATTATGTATTAAGTCTGATCAAAATTATTTAAATGAGGAGTAAAATTTTTCTTAAAGATATCTAACTTACTACAAGCAGAATATAAATATGCTTTAAAAAGCTATCTGGATACTATAATTACAGCCATACACAAAATCTAAGTGATACAAAGCTTAATATTTTCAATTATTTTTTCTTTGGGTCAAAGATATCTAATGTGTACAACATAAAATTTGTGGAAACAAGTGACATATTGGTCCATCTAGGTTGTTCAATCCACTAAACTAAACTGAAAAACTCAGAGCCAGTTTTTACTATTTAGATATTTATTTGGCCTTCCCTTAAAATCCCTTAAATGTATTGCATCCACCACATCTGAAAATCTATTACAAAAGTAAACCACACTGTTAGAAAAATAAAGCAGTAATTTGCATTTTGGACCAGTCTGCAGATTACATTTTGAAAACTACTGCCCTGGTCCTACCATTCAGTCAAAAAATAAAAGATGATGCTAAAACACTATACATACTCTTAACAATCTTAAAAACCTCAATCAGAACCCCTATAACTCCAATTTTTTCATGTGGACATCATTTCAGTGATCTTAACCTGTCCTTGTATGACAACCTTTCCATTCCAATTGTAACTATTATCCTAATAGCCCTTCTCTGAGACCAAGTCATTTCCAATAATTCAAAATTTATTGCATCCTCCACATTCAAAGCCAACTCATTCCAATCCAGAGACCAACAACTTAAATTCAACATTAAAAACATTTGTATAGAATTCTTCTGAAATTTAAAACTGCACTATTATAATAACTTTTATGTCATATTTAATCCCTAAATATATATTATTCTTTTACTTTTAGTATTACTAGCAATTTGGAATATAAATTCAACTTACTGAATTTTACACATAAATTTCACCTACCCAATGTACCTACTGAACGTAATTTTAACTCTGTAAATTACAATTTATAGTTCATGCGTATTTCCTTTTTTAATTTTTACTTGTTATTGTGCAAGATAAAAAAGAAACTGTAAATGCAATACTCCCACTCACCAGTGTTGCCTTGGGCTTGGCGTTACTACTAGAATTAGTAGAACTAGAAGAAATGATCTGGATTTTCATTTTTGTTGATGTGTTATGAGGCTACAAAAGCTCTAGTCTCTAAAGCCTTACACTAATAAATACAACTTTTATATTTTTCAATACAAATAGCTAACGTTAACACTAAACGTCAAAAAATGTTTAAACAAACACTCGCTATTTCAATAACATGGAGAATCCTAGTTCTCTATTTCACAATTGCCGCTAGAGGTCTTCAAAGAGATTTACTAAATTATTTATAACAAACTGAGGTACCCATCCTTTGTCCGGGTAATGAACTCACAAAAATCTTCAGGTGAATGCTATGATAAATAACACAAAAATCCTAACTTTCACACAATTTATTTGTAAAATAACATATTATTAAAGTATTCATTATTACCTCACCAAAAATTTTGTATAAGCTTTAAGAACTCATTATATATATACTTGAAATATGGTATACACTGTGCGATAGTCAGGGAGACTTTGTAGGATGTGGTATCGGAAAAGTAGTTGGGGTAGGTGTGCTTTCTGTTACCTGCTTTCAACACCCAGCTATTAATGTACTTCTACAGTATATTAATTAATTGAAGGTCATTGGCTGCAGAAGTGTCTTACGGGTCGAAGTTGAAAGGTGACGGGTAGGAAATGGGTATAACTCAAGAAACGGCTCTTCATAGCAGCCTTATTGTGGCTGTTGAAGTATACTCTTCAGATGAGTTTATGTAGTATTCCAATAGTGGCGGCCATTTTTTCATTGTATTCCTCCATAAAGAGTGCTAGCGCACTCTCTTAGATATATAAGACGTTTGTGTGCTTTCCTCCCACACTGTGTGTATTGTTACGCCTCCAGTCGTTAGTTAATTTTTCGTAAATTCGTTCCGACGAAACTTTAGCGACACAAGTCCTTTCTTAAATAAAACTGGTTTATTCTTTCCGAATACAACTTTACGATACACTTAATTTCAACAGTCGCTCTATAACAAACACTATAATTCACGTCCCCGTGGCCAACAATATTTTGTCCGCATACATTCAATTACTCATTACACTGATGTCCCGTCACGTTGTGAACGTCTTATATATACAAGACTAACACATATCTAGTAAATGCTAGGGCATTCTTGAAGGAACATGATATTTCTAGAAAGAGGTGGCGTGATACTAGTCACGTGACCTCGCTGACGCAACAGTATGTTGTGTTATAGAAAATATAATTATAGTTTGTTTTTTAGTGTAAGGACGTGGTGCTATCTGTGAACATAGTTAACATTAACTTACGTCAAAGATAATGAATGCTCAATGATAGCAATACTGGGGAGTGGAGAGGGTTATGAACCCCCTTAGCATGGCACTTATTCTAAACTATTGTTGCGTCAGCGAGGTCACGTGACTAGTATCACGCCACGTCCTTCTCGAACCTTCATGAATTATCGGGAGACTACTAGATTGGGGGTAGTCTGGTATATATAAGACGTTCACAACGTGACGGAACAAGGTAATGAGTAATTGAACTGCAGTCAGAGAGTGTGTAATGGAACTGAGTATTGTTGAAGTCTAGCACGTGAGACGTTCGTTGAGAATTATAGCGCGGCTGTTGAAATTAAGTGTATCGCAAAGTTATATTCAGAAAGAATAAACCAGTTTTATTTGAGAAAGGACTTGTGTCGCTAAAGTTTCGTCAGAACGAATTTACGGAAAATTAACTAACAGACAGAGACGTAACAAATTTGTGTCAGAGAGTGGGAT